ATGTTAAGATAATTTTTATAATTTACTACCACTTTTTTCATAATAAAACTTTCATTTTTCTATCATAGTGTACTATCACTTTTTTCATATTAAAATTTGAAATTTTTATCATACTATACTTTGACATTTTTTTCATACTATACTTTAAAAAATTTTCTTACTATTTGTAAAATTTTATCATTCTAAACTATGATGTTTTCTCACACTAAAACTTGAAATTTTTTATCATACTATACTGACATTTTTAATCATTGTATACTATCACATTTTTTTATACTTTTATCATACTATGCTATGGTTTTTTAAACTATTATTTGACATTTTTATCATAGTAATATAAGACTTTTTACTACATTTTGTTCATACGACAATTTAGATTTTTATCATTTTGAGCCAATATTTTTTTTCATACTAAGATATGATTTTTTTTAACATACCATCCTATATCATTTTTTTCATGCAAAAATTTTCCTTTTTTTCATAAAATACTGACATTTTTTCATACTTAAATTTAAATTTTTATCATACTTAACTATGACTTTTTTCACTCTTGAATTTAAAATTTAATAATAATATACCATGTGTTTTTTTCATACTAAAATTTGAATTTTTTTATGCTATACTATGACATTTGAACATAATATACTTTGACATGTTTTTCATATATTAAATTTAAAATTTTCATCATAATTTCCTTTACTGTTTTCAAACTAAAATTTAAAATTGTTATCATACTAAACTATGATATTTTTTCAACAAAATATACTTTAAGATTTTTTTCAATTTAAAATTTTTGTAATACTATACTATTATTTTTTCATACTTAAATTTGAAAATTTTCTCATACTTTACTATGACAATTTAACATTATATACCATGAGATTTTTTTTATTTTTTAAATTTAAAATTTCATTATACTTTTCCTTTCCTTTTTTGTCATACTTAAATTTGAAATTGTTATCATAATAAACTATGGCATTTTTTCAATATATTATACTTTGACTTTTTTTTCATACTTTAATTTTAAATTTTCATTTTACTTTACTTTTATACTTTTTTTCATACTAAACTTTCAAATATTTATCATACTATACTATGATTTTTTTATACTTAAATTTGAAATTTTTAACACACTATGCTTTAACATTTTTTTCATAATATACTACCACTTTTTTCATTATAGAATTTGACATTTTTATCATAGTGTACTATAACTTTTTTTAAACTTAAATTGGAAATTTTTATCATACTATACTTTGACATTTTTTCATACTATACTTGAACATTTTTTCTGTCTAATTTTTAAAATTTTCATCATTCTAAACCATGTTTTTTTCTAACACTAAAACTTTTTTATCCTACTATGCTATGACTTTTGTATCATTCTTTACTACATTTTCATACTGAAATTTAACATTTTTATACTTTACTATTATTTTTTTCATAGTATTAGTTGACATTTTTATCATACTAAAATAAGACTTTTTTACGTTCTATATTATTACATTTTGTTTAATACTACAATTTATCATGTTATACCAATACATTTTTTATATTAAAATATGCATTTTTTAACATACTATTCTATAAAAAAATGTATGCTAAATTTAAATTTTTTTTTCAAAAAATACTATGACAGTTTTTTCATACTCTAATTTAAAATTTTATCAAACTTAACTAAGACTTTTTTACACTTAAATTATATATCTTTATAGAAATATACTATGATTTTTTCATACTAAAATTTATAAATTTTTTATGGCATACTTTGACATTTTAACATAATATACTTTTAACATGTTTTTCATTTTTAAATTTAAAATTTTCATTCTTCTTTCCGTTATTTTTCTTCATACTAGAATTTGAAATTGTTATCACACTAAACTATGACATTTATTCAACAAAATGTACTTTCACACTTTCTCATTTTAAAATTTAGAATTTTTAAAATATTATACTATAATTTTTTCATACTAAAATTTTAAATTTTTATCATGTTATACTAGCACATTTTAACATAATACACTGACATTTTTTTCAATAAAATAATTTTATTTTACTTTACTTTAACTTGTTTTAATACTAAAATTTGAAACTGGTATCAGACTAAAATATGACATTTTTTCAATAAATAAATATTTTTTCATTTTAAAATTTACTATGACATACATAAATTTACTATGACATTTTTTTTTTCATTTTTTAAAACTTAAAATTTTCATTATACTTTACTTTTACTTTTTTTCATACTAATATTGAAAATGTTTCTCATACTAAACTATGAATTTTTTTTTACAAAATATACTATGAAATTTTTTTCATTTTAAAATTTAAAATGTTTATTATTCTTTGATTGTACTTTTTTCATACTAAAATTTGAAATTGTTATCATACTAAACTATGACATTTTTTTCTACAAAACATATCTTAGTAATTTTCATTCATTTTAAAATGATTTAACTTTTTTCATACTAAAATTTGAAATTGTTATCATACTAAACTATTACATGTTTTAACATATTATACTTTGAATTTTTCTCATACTGTAAATTTTAATTTTCATTATACTTCACTTTTACTTGTTTTCATACTAAAATCATTTAAAATCTTTAAAATACTATACTTTTATTTTTTAATTCTAAAATTTGAAATTGTTATCATACTAAACTATTACATGCTTTAACATATTATACTTTGAATTTTTCTCATACTATAAATTTTAATTTTCATTATACTTCGATTTTATTTGTTTTCATACTAAAAACATTTAAAATCTTTAAAATACTATACTTTTATTTTTTAATACTTAAATTTGACATTTGTTATCATGCTAAGCTATTACATGTTTTAACATATTATACTTTGAATTTTTCTCATACTATAAATTTTAATTTTCATTATACTTCACTTTTACTTATTTTTATACTAAAAACATTTAAAATCTTTAAAATACTATACTTTTATTTTTTCATACTATTTGAAATTTTTATCATACTATGACATTTTAACATAATTTACTTGACATTTTTTTATTTCTAAATTTAAATTTTTTATTATTCATTACTTTTCCTTTTTTTCATACTAAAATTTTAAATTATTATCATACTTAACTATGCAGTTTTTCTACAAAATATACTTTGACTTTTTTTGTATTCTTTTAAAATTTAAAATTCTAATCATAGTTTACTTGACATTTTAACATAATTTACTTTGACATTTTTTTCAGTTTGAATTTAAAATTTTCGGTAAACTTTACCTCTCCTTTTTTTGATACTAAAATTTGAAAATTTATCATGCTATACTACAACATTTTATAATAATATACTTGGCATTTTTTTCATTTTTAAATAATGAAATTTTCATTATACTTCTTTTTTACTTTTTTCATACTAAAATTTGAAATTTTTATCATACTAAACTATGGCATTTTTTCAACAAAATACACTTTGACATTTAATTAGTAATATAAATTTTAATTTTCAATACACTTGACTTTTATTTGTTTTCATACTTAAATTTGGAAGTTTTATCATAATAAACTATGACATTTATTCAACAAAATACACTTTGACATTTATTTCATTTTTAAATTTCAAATTTTCATTTTACTTTACTTTAACTTGTTTTCATACTAAAATGTAAAAATTTCATCGTACTAAGACATTTTTTACAAACTAGACTTTGATATATACTTTTACATATTTTCTTACTAATTTGTTAAATTTTTATTATTCTAAACTATGATTGTTCTCACACTACAATTAATTTTTTTTTCATAATATGCTAAAATTTTTCTATACTAAAATTTGAAATTTTTATCATACTATACTATGACATTTTAACATCATATACTTTGACACTTTTCTCATACTAAAATTTTACATTTTTATCACACTATACTATTACTTTTTTGTACTAAAATTTGAAAATTTTTATCATACTATACTTTAACATTTTTTCTTACTTATTTGTTAAATCTTTATTTCATTCTATTTTTTTATTTCATTCTAAATTTTTATTTCATTCTAAACTATAATTTTTTTCATAATCAAATTTGAAATTTATATCATACTATACTATGACATTTTTTAACATTTCAGACTACTATATTTTTTCATACTAAAATTTGAAATTTGTATCATTCTATACTATGACATTTTTTACATACTAAAATTTGACATTTTTATTAAATTATGCTGATATTTTTCATACTAACATTTGAAATTTTTATCATAGTAAACTAAGAGTTTCTTTAAACTCTACTATGACCTATTTTCCTCAAACTTTACTTTTACTGTGGTTTACCTGACCACGATTTTGACCTTCTTGCTGTGAGGCAACAGTGCCAACCATTACTCCACAGTGCCAACCATGTCACAGTATATCCTTTTATCATATCATACTATACTATGGCATTCTATAATATGAATTTTTTTTCATACTTAAATTTGAATTTTTTATCATATTATACTATGATATTTTTTTAACATACTATACTATGACATTAATTATACTCATATATAATACACACACACACACACACACACACACACACACACACACACACACACACACACACACACACACACACACAGTATATACTCTACAAGACCACACCCAAGAATCTACTGCCCTTAAGGGAAATCAGACTGCTGGGGGCTCTGCTGATGTAGGTCAAGTGAATGATGGTTTCCCAACCTCCATCAATGTGTAAGACAGATACGGGCCACACACACACACACACACACACACAGGTTTGTTGTCAGTGGTTTGGTTTAATTTCATAGAAAAAATCATGTGCGTATTTCTTATACAGTATGTATGTTTGCACTGTGTATGGGGGGTATATTATTCTTTATGTCTGTCTGTCTAACCTTTTGTCTGTACACACATAAACATACAGTAAACAATAGTATGATCATCAAATCAGGTCAGGGGTTCAGAGCCTTGTGATTAAATCCTGACTTGTCAGGAGAAAGACAACAACCCCCTGAGGGTCCCACGTGGTTCCAACATCACTTTAGCCTCCTCACATCACTCATTATTGCCTGCACCACATGACACCACCCTCCTCATCTTCTGAATCTAAAACATCAAAAGGACAAGTTGTGATTTTTGATAAAAGAAACTTTGAGAACCATTTGAAAAAAAAAAAATTCAGCCTTGAGAAAACACATCAATTAAATTAAGGATTAATGATGACAAACACAGAGCTTTATTGTGACTCACTGATTTGCATTAATTCTCTAAGAGTATAAGAGATTACTGTTTTTTATACATGTGGAGCCATATCAAATCCCTATTATCAAACTTCTACCACAAACAGGTATAGGGTCACTCGACCTATGTTAGTTTTAGACAGTTCAGTTTTTTACTATTTCAGTCAATTAAATCACTCAAAATATAAAATGATAAACAGTAAAGGAGACAGTGAGCAAAGACTGAAACGGTAGTGAAGGACAGCTACTAGTATGTCCACATCAGACAGATTTATATTTTAGCCAAAGTCAGCCCTGTTCACATAAACAGTTTCTGGCACCCATCTGGCTCATGTAGGTCTGCACTCATATGTAAGGAAATAATGGTTATAGTTTTTAACTTGTCTCTAAAGGAGCTGTGTGTGAGTGATATGAAATGTCAGACTGTCCATATGGCTGTAGTCTGTACTGTGACTGAAGTCAGCACCCCTATCATAACATTGGCCTGTTTCTACAATAAACAAGCCATCTGTGTCCCCTTGCATCTGTTGTATAATTTACTCTACACATGAGGACCCTGTAGAAAGTGTATTCCTGACCACCTGTGTGCACCTGAGGTTGGGAGAGCCCTCAAAAGAAAGAGTCCATGTAGCAGTCTAACCCTCTAAAGCACTGACATAGACTCTTTGCCTCATCCTTCATTACAGCCTGCAGAGCTCCCTCCCTCTTTCAGTCTCTCTTTTATATGTTTGGTGGAGACATTCTTCCTCAAAGGGAGATGTTATGTTATGCCAAGAAGATGGCCAGAATTAAGATTTTCTTTAATGGCATGAGTTACCTGTGTTAGTGTGAATTGGAGTAGGGTAGGGCTCATGAATTTAGGGCCAAAGGAGATCAGAATGTCTGAAATATGAAGGTCTATGGTGTCAAACTGCTTCCTTGCAATTGAACTGTCATCATACTGTTTGACATTTTTTTATAGGGCAGAGCAGAAATCTGTCTTAGATAATGTATGTTCCCTTTACAAGAGCTCCATCTGCTCTTTAATAGGATTTTATTCTTAAGTTGTCTCTTTATGTTGGACAACTCCAGCTCTGACAAACACGCACAGGGACAGTTTTGTAACAGTCACATCAGTTCACTTTGATATGCAGGATATGTTGACAGTATTCCTCAGCAGACACCCTGATGTTTAAGTGCAAGACGACATGCTTTTCTTAAGCATGAATACACACAAAAGGAACACAAACAAAAACCAAGAGGCGGACAAATCAGAAAGTTTTGATCAGAAACAAGAGGACAGATTGAGCCAAGAGATGGAAGTTTGATGGAAAGTCATAACACAACAGTTCTTAAGCTGACATGAAGGTGAGTGGATAGAGATAAGTAAAAATGCAGGCAGAGAATCAAAGAGACAGACTGACACAGATTTCTGCACGAGACACGCAGGCAGACAGTGTCTTAATCTCTGCACCCTGCTGGTTCAGGGCGATTCAGGCAGTGCTGCGGTGATGGAGATGTCACTCAGTGTTATGATGGCGCGTCCAATCGGTTGACACTTGATGGCCCTTGTTAATTGCTTGCTAATTGTGTGTCACATGGAGGATGTTTTACAAGCAGCCGAGAAATTTGATCAAGGGGATAGTATGAAGATATGATGACCAGTGTGAGGACTGATTCACATTTACACTCATAGACACAGACGTGTGAATTTATGTCAGCCGTGGCGACAAATTCAAAATAATACAGACTAGTTAAGAAAGATACAGACACACAATTAGTACACAGGCAAATATTTGTGCGCCCCAATCCTGCCTCAGCTAAAGCCCCCTTTTTCTGCATTCCTTAGAAGTCACTCAAGCTCTGTTTTTCTGGAGTTTAAATGCCACGGGAGTGTGTATTTCTGTCCTGAAACAGCAGGAAAGTTGAGAAATGGCCAATCTAAACAAATGAAGCCAAGCTTTAATCCACAGTTCTCAGAAACAGAGAGAGAGAGAGAGAGAGAGAGAGGAGCAGTGGAGTGTACAGCCAAGTTAAAGACAAATGAAACACATTTATTTCAGGGCCCTGGCAATGCAGATGCTAATGGCAGCCAAAGAAATGCACTCTCACAGACACACACACACACACACACACACACACACACACACACACACACACACACACACACACACACACACACACACACACACACACACACACATTGAATACCTCCTGGGTCAACAGAAATAGAAAAGAGAGTTTTACTTGGAGTCATGAGAAAATAACAGGGGGAAAAAAAACCCACACACACAATATCAGACATAAAATGAGGTGTGTACGTAATTCTATTGTTGTCTCCTCTCCACAGATGAGGTCACAGCTCCTCTTCCACACACTCCCTCCCTCTCTCCCTCCTTCCCTCCTCCAGGAGACAGAGGGGAGGCAGAAATGCTCCTAGGTTCACTTTGCTACCTGGAGACCGACAGCCTCCCCGAGCCAGCCAATCAGAGGCTGTGAAAAACAGGCTCCTGCTCTGCCATTGGTCCACCGCTCCCAGGAACTCATTCCTCTATCAATGGCCGTGTCATTGTGTCGCCTGGCAGCGCTGAAGCCAATTATACTGCCCCCTTTCCTTTGTTCAGACTTCTTTTCTGCAGTAGACCCCCTTCAAGAATATAAGGGCACATACACACACACACACACACACACACACACACACACACACACACACACACAGACACACACACACACAGACAGATGCATGCGCACATACAAATCTCCTTCTGACTCCCCAGAATGTCACAACAGGAGACTGAAGGAGTCTGGGAATCAAGAGGACCTGAAACTCATAGTAATGAGACGTCATTATATTACAGCCACAATCAGCCTATCCTCAACACGACCTCTACCATCAATGATCCACGACTTCTAATTCAGTTCATTTAAACTCTAACAAATGCTAAATTCAGTCTACTTGAAGCAAAACATCTTGAATAATAATCTTTTTGCTGCTTCACTTTGACAATGTTTGAAAAAGATTTCATAGGAACACAAATGAGGAGAGGGGGAAACAAAATTAACTGTTTCTGTTTCTATGGAGGACTTGTGATTGTCAGTGGACCTTCACACAAAGCAGAATGGACATGTAAGTGAGGGGGCCCACTGAGCAACAGACGGCTATTAGGCGTCCATTTATTTTTTTTAGACCTAACTTTGACCGTCTGGATTCTGTATATTTTTAGACAGAATTTAAACGTTGCGCTTTAACCCATTATTCGATAACTATTTATTTCAAAAAGCAACTGTGAGTTGCATAACCAATCTAAAAAAACATTCATTTTTAGACCTGTGGTAGCCTGATTTTAGACCAGTCGTCTGGGCTACATTTAGACCTCTATTAGACCTCTTTTAGACCAAAAAATGCTCAGTGGGGGAACAGCCCACCAATCAACCCTACATGGCCTCCTTAGATGTGGATAAAAAATTAAACCACACCATTAAACTGGATTTATGAAATCTGATCATTTTTGAGCTCCTGCGGACATTGGGGATAAGTGCTATAAAGGCAGATACTGTCAAGCTGATTATCCAAAATAAAACATCCTGTGTACCAACTAAATATCTGACTTCTTACTCCAGTAAAGGATGTCTGTGGGGAGGAAAGATGTTGAGCTACCCAGCACTTGCTGAAAGGAACCATACTGTGCATAGTCATAGTTATGCAACTTTTGTAGTCGTGCAAAAAATAAATTATAAAACATGCTCATCCAAACTATCCAAGGGCAGGTGCTGAGTCAAGCAGAAGTGTAACCAAGGTGTATATCCAAAGTAGTTGATGTTTTAGAGTCAGAAATGTAAGTGTCTCCAGTGGAGCAAGACAGTAACAAATATAGACACTGTCATCGATGTCACAAAACTCTTTGTTCCCTACATGCAGGTAAAATCTTTCAAATCAAAGGTGGCATGTCATGTAAAACAAATCAAAGGTGTCATGTCATGTAACACAAAAAAAGTCTTTACATGCTGAAATGTCCTTGTAGTCTAACTTACGTAGGAAAAACTTACAGGGTAACAGGATGCTGGAGTAAAATAAGAGTCCAGTTTCTAACTACTTTCAATCGTTGAATCACACAATGGCATCTCTTTCTTACACCGGTATTGAACGTGTTAAACTTCCACGGAGAGGAGGAGATATCAATAACCCTCTCCTAAAACAGAAACTATTTTAGATGTGTACTCTTAACATCATGACGCCAAAAGGTTTAAATGAAGAAATTAACATTAGCCCTTTTCTGGTTCAAATATGGTTTTTGTTCTCTTTTGAAGATATAACCTGCACAGGTGTGATCAACCACTTTTTGATTTTGCTCTTTTATTTCTTTGACTGAACAAAGTACACCAGCAATAAGACATTAGAGGACCTAACCTGTGTTTGAAGATTGCAAGCTGTTTTCTTCTGTCTTTGCACTTTTACAGTTTGCACATCAGCTTGTTTGAGTTGCTGTCTAAAAGTTATCCTGACATTTTGTGTGCATGACTATCATTGCATAGGTGTGGCTTTAATAGACAGCGTACCCCCAAGCAGTAAAAACTCCAAAGATCATACAGTACAGCAACATATCTGAACATGCAATGTAGGCATCTTAACAAATGGAGTTAAACATAAAAATTAGATTAGAAGTTCAGAGTCTTTATAGAACAAATATAAAAAATGTAAACAACAGTTTCGACCCAACCTGTTTCAAAGTTTAACATAAACACATGATGCAGTAAAACTTCAAACGAAAAGTCAACAACAGTTTACATTCTGTTTCCTCCAAACCCCTGCAGCTTACACGACCAGGATGTGCTCACATGTTTAAACAACCATGTGTATTGTGTAAACGCTATCACAAGTGTGTGTGTGTGTGTGTGTGTATGTGTGTAACTGATAAGAAGTACACAATAAGACACACCCTCATACTGACATAACTGTAGGCTACATCTACTCAAGCATGTAAATGAGCCAAACACATTAAACACAGACAAAGGTTTCACAGTGAGAGAGAGAGAGAGAGAGAGAGAAAGAGAGAGAGAGAGAGAGAGAGAGAGAGAGTGAGAGAAAGAGAGAAAGAGAGAGAGAGAGAGAGAGAGAGAGAGAGAGATTGTCAGTTCTCAGTGTCCCTCAGAGTGTGCTGGTATGAACATCATTTTTAAACCACAGACTGTTTTCTAAAAGTTGAATTCAGTTTTTTTTAAATTATTTGACACTGATCCAAACTCCTTCAGTCACTTGAGTGCTCCTCTTCAGAGTCAAGCAGACCTCTTTAAAGGCCTGTTGCCTTTGTTCTGAGTAAACCATCATGTTGATGAAACCGTTTCAGTGCCGCAGCTTCACAAAGCCTGATGCTAATCTCACTTATCTCTTACAGACATTAGTTTAACTTAAGTTCAGCCTTTATTTCCCTTGTGTTTCAGGTACATGCAACTAGTGGGAATAGCTTTCACACCATCATTTATAACATCTACGCTAAACTGGACCACCGGACATTACAGTACTCGATCCACTGACTGCTTGATGCTGCAGGTCCGAAGAGTTTACTCTGAATTGGGTAAATCTGCAATCAGTTACTGCGCTCCTATAATGTGGAACAACCTACAACGAAGTCTGAGGATGAATACATGAGTTTCTTTTAGCAAATTCAAAATGATGATGTCAAATAATTTCACCATAATATGTCATTGTTTTTATTGATTGTACCTCATTGTCTCGTTTATTAATTTGTTTTAAATGTGTTTCTGTTGCATCTCAACATAATTGTAAATGAGGGAAACCTCAAAGATCCTGGAGAATTAAATAAAGGTTAAATAACAAACATGCATGTGGATAACAGAGGGAACACACACAGTGCAAACAGCAGTGAAAGCAAAGAGCCGCTCACCCTGTAGCAGTTATCTTTTGATGGAGATCAGATGCTGAAGAATGAAAGTTTATTTCTGTCTTCAAAGAGACAGGAAGAGCGGCAGTGACACTCTAAAGCACAAAGATATATTGTGAAGACCTTTTGATTCAGCATCTTCTTTAGTGTTGAGCCAGAGTCATTATTTCTCTGTGACCTACATATGTGTGTGCTCAAACAGAGAGCTTGTAAATGATGAAAGGAAGTCAGGGTTTTCTGTTTAAATTAGCAGGGCACTTAATGAGGAGCACAGGAAGGCAGCAGCAGCAGCTCAGGTTCAAGAGCTGAAGTGTTCGCTCACAGTGTGCAGGGGAGCTGCTGGGAAATGGATTCTTTATCCTCCAGACATGAAATGTCCTCCAAAACCAGAACTCATTATTTCTCAGGCTCCCTGTGACGTCAGAGAAAACATGTGTGCCTGCTTCATTCAAGAGGAGGAGGAGCCAATCGATGTGCAAATTATTGCAGACCTGAAAATGAAACCAGTTTGACACATTTACTGTTGTTCCACAGCGAATCAGTCACATACTGAGCACTCTTTTTAGCGACCCCTGCAGTTTTATCCTCCAGTAAAAAGCTTTCTTGACTCAAAGTGTGAGTGACATTTATCATCTTCACTAAAACAGACTGACCTGTAAAGAGGAGGGCAAACAAAGAGCTCAATTTTCAGCTAGATATAACTTAACAGTACCATGAGATTAAAGGGCATGATTGATGCTTCTCTCTTTCCGATTTAAATACAAAACAGGTGCCAAGAGTTCGGTCTGAATGAAAAGCAGCCTGTGAGAGCTTATGGACAGTAAACATGAAAGATTTAAGAGATGTGGAAGGACTTAACTTTAACTTTACAGGACAAAAGGTGAGAGTACAGAAACTTTGTGTAAGAGGAATGACGGCAGAACAGGTTGTTACCAAGCCTTATAAATGCTTTTATAATGAGTTATAAATGTGCTCATGGTGTGACCAAGTATTTCAGAAACTATAGATCAAAGAACCACTACAGTTATCTGGGTGAGAATCCTTTGGTGATAGCAGAGGTCAGAGGAGAATGACCTGACTGGTTTGAGCTGATAGAAAGGCAATAATCAATAACCACACATTACAACTGAGGTATAAAGAGGAGTGTCTCTGAACACAGAGAGCGTCAAACTAGAAGCAGAAGGATACAGTTCTCACCATCACTGGCCAAGAGGAGAAAGTCGCCTGGTCTGATGAGTCTCAGTTTCTGTTCAAAAGTGTGCAAACATCCTGCTTCTATCAACACTTCCAGCTGGTGGTGGTGATCTAATGGTGGGGGGGTATTTCTTGGCACACGTCAGACCTCTTTATACCCGTTGAGCATTGCCTACCTATCAGCCTATGTGAGGATCTCTTCATGACCACGAAGTACCCCATCTTTTTATGGCTACTTCCGACTAAATGACGTGCCATGTCACAAATCTCAAATGAGTACATGGTCTCCATAATGTTAAATATGCCATAGAGAAGCCATGCTTTGTCTGACTTGGTGCTATTTTAAGGTCAGAATGTACACAAAGTACTCTGGTCTCCATCAATCTCTTTATTTTCAGGCTAACTTGTGTTTATTTTCTTTCAGTAACTTAAAGCTGAGAAGAGAAAGTTGAGCCAGGACCAAAGCTTTCTGTGTTTTTAGAGTTTTCTTGAGTGTTTGTGATCCGCTTCCCAATGAGGTACTGGAGGGAAAAAAAGAGGGGAGACTGGGACTGCAGAGGGTTTGTTGTTGAAGTGAAGCAGGAGCATACAAGATTAGAAGAAAAAAAAGTAAAACATCAAATGTTTTCCTACTCTCTCTCTCCTCAACAGAAATGTAGTGCTCAATGTGAGGGCTCATGCTGAATGTTGGAAATTATCTCTGGAAACCCTGGAGCCATGGAAAAACCCTGGAATTTATCTGCAAAAATGACTAACTCCACTGTTTATACATTCCTCTGTCTTTTGGCAATAAAATTATCGTTTCACAGAGAGCAGAAAGTATCTGGTATTTAACTGCACTATGTGTTTACATGGTGGGGGGGCAGGGGAAGACATACAGTATGGAGTAATGTGCTTCAGCAGGAATCCACATTGGTAATAACACAGAAACACATTTGAGCTTGAAAACACACACACTGACATTTCTTCACCTTTACACCAATAGATGACTCGCACACACCCAGCATAGAGCATAACAGTGAATAGTGACGATAAAGAATGAGGCAGACTCCTCTGATTCACTTTAAGACGTTTTTAATAGTTCTGTGTGGCAAACACAATGACTATGTGCATTTCTGTAAATACGTATAGAGCAATCTCTGAAAAAAAGTTTTGTCTCCATTCAAATACATTAAAATAATCAACCGTAAAAACTCAAATAGAAAACAATCTCTTAAAAAAAAGGAAAAAAAAAAGGAATGACTCAAATCAGAAAGAGACAAATATTCCAGTGATAATCTGATATCTGTTTCATTTTTAAACATCCCTCTCATCAAAGTTGAAAAATAGTCACTGGAACATATGATCATCTGACACGGTCCACCTAAGGAGTGAAGCAGATGTCTTGTCTTTATGTGTTGTTACAGTGCCAGCTCTTCCACGAGCACAGACATTCATATTTCAAAGAAAATGTCACGTAAATGCTGCTGTTGTTAAGAAAAACTGGCGATTCCTAAAATGTTGAAATTGGGGTCCATGTTTACCTCGATCACCAGCATAAAAGAGCGCTGATCTGAACGGATAAACATCACTGGGGTTTACATTTTCACATCCTGAGTCGAGCTACAGTATTGTGTTTGCATAGAAATAAATATTGCATGGATCAGCTGACGTCGTCTCGCAGGAATCCTGTCGGACATTTACACCAAAACATCATGGCAAAATGTCTGCTGATGGCTTCAGAATACAAATAAGAGCAAGGCCAGACATTCGACAACTACTGTTGCACTTCAGTGGGAGGGGAAGTGGGCGAACCACACACAAACACAGACAACTGAACACACATATGGACTTGTCTCAGCAGTTTTTGGGCAGTTTTCCAGTGTGCTTTATCCTCAGCAGAAAGACCACAGAGCTGTTTCTGAAACCTACCATTTATGACAGCGTGGTCGGTACCGTACAGTAATTAGAGATGGCAACACACACACACACACATGCTCTCGGACTTGCGTGCACTGACACACACAGAGGAAGTCAGGCACACACACAAAACTAAATACAGGCAGCTCGCTCTGAACACTCAAATATTCTCATGCACACAAACACAGGCATGTAAACTGCTCAGGATAATGTTTTTGTGGAAACACCCTTTAAGAAGTTTTTGTTTTTGGTTTTACTGACGTGTTCAAACTGTGGTAGATCCTCCTCTCTACATCTGACTCTGCTTTTTGGATTTTATGGAAATGTGTAAGGTTTTTCACGGGTTTTCTTTATAAAAAGTTTGCGGGCACATGTGGTAACAATGCTCAGACATAAGCTTGTGTAAATCATCCCCATTTCTCTACGATATCCAACATCTGCATACACACCCCTTCCCTTCTCAGGAAAAAAAACACAACATCAGCAAACAAACAAAAACACCAAGATTGATTACTGTGGTTGGACTGGTCCACACACCATCCCAGTGCAATCTGTGACAAACCTGTGCATGAAATGAACAGACTGGATTTCTAATAGTTGGCACTTGTTTAAAAAATACAGAAAAAACATATTGACATTTACAAACAGACAAATACAGTATATCAGAAAATTACGACATGATAGATCTTACGGGTTAAAAAAAAATAACGCGAACAAGTGTGAAGTGGTCTTGGCTAGAACATTTAGAGATAACTGCATCACGTATAGGTGTGCCAAATTTAGGACTCTACAAGTGGGAAATAATCGCAAACAAGTGTGGCTCCCTCCTGAGAAAGTCTTTGGAATCACTGAAGATGCCCTTTATGACTGACAGGTAAAACACGTGATTTACAGACAGAAAGGAAAAGACAAAGAAACAGATATGTGCACATGCTGAGGACAGAAATTCAATCTTAAGGAATAGCCAAAGATCCAGAGACTGACAAGGGATAGCCAAGGGTTCAACAGTGAGGTGAGAGCCCTGCCCTCATCCTCAGTCTCCCCCCATAAGATGCTGTTACCTCCAATCCCAAAGACGGTCAGCCCACTTAAGTCAAGTACCAAAGAAACACTGGCCTACTTGCAGAGAGATAATCTCAGATTGACATTGGCCACTGAATGGCTACAAATAAATCAGGGTTTGGATGTCACTGACTCTGTAAGTAAAAAAAAAAAAGAGACAAAAAACAAAAACAAACACTTTTCTTAGTTGGAGCGAGAGGGAGCGGCATCTAGTAGCTCTTCTAACGACTCCGCTCCTTCTAGTTTGGGCTCCTCCGTCTCGTCGGTCTTCTTCTTCTTGGTAGGCACTTTGCTGGATGAGGGCTTGTCTTCCTGCATCAGCTCTTTGGCCAGGATGTTGGTCACTGCATGACCAGCTCGTCTGTGGTTGGCTGAGAGAAAGACACTGAGTAGCAGAAACAAAGAGAGCAGGATAAATAATGTTTCATTTTTAAACCACAAGTTTACACAGATATGTCAGTGCATGCCACAAAGCAACATATCTGACACGTTGATAATAAAGATTAGTGTTTGTCAGTTCCTCAAACAACACCACAACAGCAGCCAGGTATGTTTACTGCAAATGAAAACAGACAATTGGTTAACACACTGATGCCTGGGCTGAACACACAGGTATAAGTGTTGACCTCCAAGGACATCTTCAGTTTGTGCTTTTAAAAATATAACACAAACCGATGCCCCAATACTGTTTAACAAACACAATCATGCATTTCCATGACACACAGACACCCATATGGCTTTACTGTGTGGCTGTGTATGAGTGTGGATTAGTGTGATATCTAGAGCAACATGTCGCTAATGTCAGATTAGACTTTGCATGAGCCTACTATAGGGGAAAAAAGGAGAGGGAATATGAGAGACTTTCCCAGGAAGAGAGAGAAGTAAAAAGATGGAGAAGAAAGAGAAAGGATGTGAAAGGATGAGAGACGCCATGAAGAGCAGAATGATTCATGCAGTGGGAAGATTAAAGAGGCAGGAATGAATGAAAATGAGACCAATGTGGAAATAGAGACGAGCAAAAGAGAGAAGGAATTTAAGGAATGACGAATGCGAGTAGTAAAATAGATCACAGAGAAAACAGCGGAAGCAGAGAGAAGATAAGAAATGCAAAGAGTGAGTGCGACAGATTGTGCCCTGAGGATGCTGTCCTTTTCATTCTTCTACCTGCTTACTCTGT